AAGAAATAGCATAATCCGCATCATTTGATACAAAGAAAAATTAATGTAAATTTGTTTGATGGAATAAAAAACATAAGACACCTGGCGCTATTTGGCAATCCCCATGACGACCTGGTCAATCAAGATAGCATATTCAACATAATTCTACGACTAGTACTGTAATAGGTAAGACCTAGTTTCCTAAATAAATATTTTTCATACACTATGAGTATCAAACTATTAAGACATGATTGATGTCTAGAAATCGTTTTTTCTTCTTGCAATTGCAAACTTGTGTGTTTCGAACTTGACATTGTGTTAGTTTATCTGATTAAACCAAATTTGTTTGAGTACTGTCTGTCTCATACTGAACTAAACTACATAGTAAATAAGACAAAACATTAGATTAAGACCATACGTTCAAGAAATGCATTAAGCCTTAGGACAGATGAAGGTAAATTATGAACATGAACAATAAATTTAATTATGAATCACCTTCTTTTAATTAGTGCACATTCTTCTGTATCATCACTTAATGATCTGGAAAAGAATAAAGAGTTTTTTTAGCATGATCTAATTATGTAAAAAATTAGACTTTATTAAAATAAGACGTTTGACTTAAAGATGAAAATATAATTCAATTGTTATTGATTAATTATTAATGATTGGCAAAGGCAATACACTAGAAAAAATAGAATAGCAACACTTACACCAAGAATGATCTAAGAAAACAAAATTTAAACATTGTTACTGATCTTATTGTTAATTTTATTTGTTTTTATATTCAGACATAAATAAAAATCGAAAGAAAAAGAAGAATATTGAAAATGATGATGGAAATAAATCACAAACATATGTTTAGCAATGATGTTTAAAGTATTCGTTTTGTGACTTCCAATTATGGTGATGTACAGAAAATGACATCATAATATTAAATGATGATTTTATTGAAATAATACATGTTGATTCATGTATAGAAACACTAAGATTAGATTCATTTATTCGGTATGCCGATATTGATGGCACGCTCTGATGATTTTCCTTCATTCTCTCTCTGTTCTCTCTCCACTGTTCTAATCTATGTTCATCTATCTTTCTCGTATGTATACGTGTGCTGTATGTGAAGTAGATACATTCTGGATATGTAAAGTAGCTAAATAAACACCATTGCCAAGAGTGGCGGCAAGTTACTCGCCCAGGTTGTCGTTACATGGCGACCCTGGCTATTGAACCCTGGCAAATTCTGAATCGAAGTCGATCCATGCGAGAATCAACAGTAACTCAACATATCGTATTGTTATTCGACGATACAATTCAGCAACGACGGTCGGTAAATAGTACTGATTGAACGGAGATAAGCATGGAGAGACGAGAGTTGGAGGACATGGCGCTGTAGGATGACTATAGTACCTAACGGCTGCAGTACTAAGCAAACAACAGTGTTACAGAACATCAGTAAACGTACTGAAGGACGGCTATGTGTTGGCCGGCAGTGAGAAGTCCTAGCACACTTTCCTTCGTAACATCTGTATGTTTCATGTCTCTTCTTCTCAAATTTCTTCATCCGTCTTGATCTCAATCATATTTTTTTGTTCCGGTTATAACAAGCTGGTGTTGATGACAATGAAGACAATTGTACATGAACTCTAAGCAATTTCAATTCATTTATCATCAATTGACCATCTCTACGCTGTTCAACTGACTGTTTTTGATGGTCAACTATCCGTCACTGTCCAGAATTTTGAGAAGTAATACTAGCGGTAGAAAGTAATCGATCATTTTGAAAATTATAATATGATGATGAAACGTGTGAAAACGTTTTTTTCTCTATTGCCACAGGGTGCATAAATTTGTCTTCTGCTGTGCGTTGTAAAATGCGAAAAACTAATCTAGGTATCGTTTACGCTCTAGATACGATTTACGGCTTTCTATGGTGTGTTTCGTTTTTTTTCTGATTTGATGACGAAAAATGTGTTAAAGTTTATTCAGTAACTGATTGATTTTTTTCTGGCTCATAAGAGTGTTATGCGATCCCTTTTTATGTCTTAATGAAATGATATTTTAGGAGGATAGATATGTCCGAAAAGCATGATTAATTTTGTCTGTTATGAATTCTGTGACGATAAATTGTTGTCTCTTGTTGCTGCTCTCCGAAAATGTCGTGGTAATCTAACGTATGAAAATAAATATTTCTGTTTCTAATTTGTGTTGAATCAGTGTCTTATTTTGTGTTCTATATTAAATACCGAATTAAATACTTTAAAATGTAAAGATAAGTCGTTCTTAATATTTCGTTTGTTGTGTACTGTTGTTTTCCTTACGTCGCTGTTCAAACTTCTGAGTGATGCATTATGGATAAAATGATCTGATAAATAAGTGTGAAAAAAGGTCATTGAAATAAATTGTTATAAGCGCTATAATGCAAAGTTGATTGAATGCTTTTTTCTTTCGTTGATTCATCAAGTTCAACTGATGAACATAGTTGTTTTGTTTCTTTCTCTCACTAATTAGTCCGTTTTTCTCTTCTGCTGTTTTATCTTATATTGTACAGACACCTAGAAGCGCGTCTAATCTGAGTGGGGGAGCGCGCCGATATTAATGTCACACTCCACTGATCTTCTTTTCCTCTTTCCTCTCTCTATTGTTCTTTCCTGTGTTCATCTCTCTGTCTTCTTTTCTCCTATATAAGCGTGTGTTACATGTGAAGTAGTTACATTCTGGACATGTATAATCAATAAATATCATTGTCGAGGTGTGGTGGCTAGCTATTCATCCAGTTTTTCGTCACACCGGAAACTTTATATACAGAAAAAAAAATTTTCCTATTTGCAGGACTAACTGCTCAAAAATGATTTTTAAAGAGGAATAGGAAAATGTATATCTTATCGAAATTGGTTGAATCTAATGTTTTAGTGTGGTAGTTCGCCTGAGTCTTCTTCCTCCTCCAGCAACACCCACACTCATACTCACATCCCAAAGATGTGTGAGTGATGAGATGGGGGATATACCTCTTCCATGATACTTGACAATTGTTCATTATTACTCAGTGAAACTATGAGAATTTTTTGAATTTTTGACTACCCCTATAAGATATTTTCTCATACAATCCTCTAACACCCTTCGTCTCCTGCCAATCTTAAGACCCTCGTGTGACCTCTACCTACACCTGCTCAGATCAACAACCGAAACCAGCCAAACATAGTGGTTTGCTTTCTAGTGTAGATCTTTTGAAGTGGTAGACGACGGAACAAGGAGTGAGCTCATTGTACGACAGAAATCTGCAGACTCCTTTCAACAGTGTCGTTTTCTTTGTGCAGACGTTTAATTTCGTCCCTTCGTTTACCAGTGTGGTTTTTCAACGCCATGTGTTGTTTCTACAGTTATTGTTGAAAAGAAAGGAGATCACAATGATGAAAGCGATTTGAAAATTGAAGGGGGCGTTCACATCGATGATTTCAGAACACATACCATGCAGAATTATATGTTAATCATTTTGATTGTGAGAAGACATACATGCAGATGAAAATCTTTTCAGATTTTCTCAGATGACCTCTTCTAAAACTCGTAATAGACATCTAAGGGATGTCACAGAAAATAAAGAAGATATGTGGTTGATTTACCTGCATTATAACAGCGGTGATTCTGAATATGTCGAAACAATGACAATGAAACTGAAAGCTCTCAATCTTGCCGCTCAGCATTAAACGGATTTTCCCCTATGTTTGGAGTTGATCAAACTGGTCCGCGATGAATAAATATTTCTCATTGTGTTGGATCTCTTCGCTGAAAATATTCTTTTTCATGTTGATGCTATTCCCACGCCTATCGGGACCTTCATCTTGTGTCGGGTGTGGGTGTGTCTCACAATTATTTTCTCTCACATCCACACCCTCGGAAAGACTCATTCTTCACATTGTCTTTCTGTAGGTCTTTAGGTAAAAATGTCTTGTGCTCAATAAATATGTCTTAGTATCCATTAAAATAGCACAATAAAGATTATACATGATTGACATAAGTACTAGAATGACATTTTGTTGTGAAATTCTAGACATCTGTATTACTATTACCATAATTAACTGTTGTTTAATTATATACAAGAGGAATGTGTGGGTTATAACAATCGCAATTCTAAAGAATTGCTCGTTCTGTCGCTAAGTATGTGTTCGATATTGAAAAAAACATCAGTCCTATTCTTCGCTTCGGATATTACCGATTCGAGAAAATAGCGACTCTAACATTAAATATTGATCTTTCGTTCATGTAATTTATTTTGTCTTTTTCTTATATTGAAAAGCCGTGATATCAGATGAATAATAATCTAGAATTGTGACTGATATCACTCTGTGATAATCTAATGTTACTTTATTCCAATTGAAAGCGCAAAAATTTAACTTCAAAACTATAGCGAAAACATTTTGTTGAACAATAATTTTGAAAATGAGTAATCCAAAGCTCGATAACAACAAATTGTCAAAGTTTTATAGAAACTTATATTTTCACCTGAACACGGTTTCTTTGTCATTAGTATTCAACAACATAAACACATCTAACGTCAATAACCATTATAATATATTTTCGTTCCATACCTAATCAATAGATTATTTTACAGAAAACAAATTGGCTGTTTATATATTTTTACATGTAAACGAATCTTATAATTATCGTACAAGGAGATAAATGTACTTTTATTTTCTTGAGATTTCATCTTTCAAAAAAACTATATAATTATGTCTGAATTTTTATTACATTCCCGATCTATATAGAAATTTACCAATTTATTTTATATTTTATAGCGTGACAATGTTTAATTCATGCTATATATATATATCTTTTGTTTTTATAAAAGAAATAGAATAAATGTGTGTTTAACAGACAAAAAAAAGCATCGAAAATAAAAACAAGGACTACAATAATACGGATTCATATGTTATACGAGACAAACCAAGCGTGCATAAATCACCGCAATATTTTGAATATAATCTATTCAAAGGTATACATTTATTTCTTTTCTTTTTGTTGCTTTAAGCTGACATTTGAAATTGATTAGCCCACCATGACTCAACCTCTTTTCGCTCATACTTAAAATTACTTGTTTGCCATGAACGCCATGGATAAGATTCATCACTACTTAAAGTCAAACGAACATTTTGTTGTAATTGTCGTGATATTGGTCGTCGTGCTCTTTTAGATTCAATAGATATATTATGTATACCTGCTTTTGTTCGATAGTTTGAATTCTAAAAAAGAAAACGATATTGAATAAAAACAAGAAAATCAATAGATATTCTACATTGAAATCATTTGAGGGTATTGGTGATGTAATTGTATTATCAAGTTTATCTTTGACAACATCTTTTTGTATTTGTTGTTGTTGATCATCAAGATTTTTTATTCGTCGTTCTTCTTCACTGCCTACATTATCTATTATTCTTTTTAATGATTCTTTTATTATTATTGCTTGTGCTTCACGAAAAAATGCTAATTCATTACATTGTAAAGTGTTAATAACATTTGTTTGACCTGTTGCTTTAATACGTTTTAAACATTTATTAAGCCAACTACGTATTGTTAATTTTGCTACCTCTTTTTCAATTAAATATTCAAGTGCTTCACGAGCAACTAATTCTTCAAATTGTAACGATTTGCGAATGTCAACCGAACGATATGCTAACGTACTAATAAAAGAAAAATAAACAGTTGTTAGCGCAATTCCTATGAGATTAAAATGTGAAACATGGTGTAGTTACTGTTGCTAATCCCCGAATGATTGTTTTATTCTATGCATTATGGGATATATTTCTTAATTATGCTTTTACTTAACCCTCCAGAAATGCAATAATAAAGTATAAAGTGTTCCAAAAGTCCGCCAGACAACGTTTTTGAGGAAACATTGAGTTTTGTAACTTACAAATAAATATCGGATCATACATCGGCAATGACTTGAAGTAGGAATCCTTTATTAAAAGTAATGAAGAACGGTACGAAAAATTTGAGCTAGATTTGGTAGAATCTTCAAAATGTTGTCTTTGTCTTCGTCGATTAAGATTATATGCCTATTAAACGTTTTCAACAGTGAAGAAGGTCACAATGCAACATATTCTTTGTTGTAAAGCATATCGATTTCGCCATTACACTTTTTTTTCGGTAAGCCAGATCAGAATATCTTCTTTCGAACGGCGCAAATTTTTTCAAATTCTTATTTTTTTACGCAAGTAATGAATTTTTTTGATCTGCATTACTGTTACACGTTGCAAAATGTGAGTTCGATAGTAGAGACACTAGTTGTCTTCTATCTAAGTGGCATTCAAAAATCTTTCTTCTGTCATTTTTAACTTTCAGATGAGAATCTTGTAACAAATGTTGAGTCGCTACTAACCCGTTTCAAAATAAAAAAAGGGTGGCCATTTTTTGAATAACTTTTGCTAGGAACAAGATAGAGAGGTGCGGGTTTCGCCATCAGAAAGAGAAGACTCAGGCGCATCAATACATGCTAAAATATGATTGGTTAGCAATGGACCAATCAGCTGCATTCTCGATGTATATTTTGTGCACTCTTCTCTGGAGCCATTTCTCAACTTAACTCTATTTGTTAATTTAGTTATTGGTAGGAAAAATTGTTTTCTTTCGATCTACGCAAGGCCGACCTTCCTAGCTTGTTCCGTTCAAGAGTTATAAGGACTTTCCTGAGATCGCTAATTTCAACCAATTGACCTTGAATCAACCAGAAAACCATCTGGAATGGGGTAATTCATCATGCTGAGTCGAATGGTGATATTTGTTTTTGGATTCGAAACCATCTTACGGTATTATCTCAATATTTCCGAAATGTGGACTCATGTGATACATCGCGGTAGATATTGTGAAATGTAGAAAATTTCTAAAAAACAGTGTAAGATGGTTTCGAATCCAAAAACAAATATCACCATTCGACTCAGCATGATGAATTACCCCATTCCAGATGGTTTTCTGGTTGATT